ACTCTCAGCTCCATAAGGAGGTGATCTTATCCCAAAAGTGTAAAGTCTATTCATTCAGCTACTAAGCCAGACAACTCCAACCCAACTAGGTCCTCTTGAACGGTCCTCATCCTACTTTTCTGGTTGGGGGTTTTGAACTTGACAATGAGGCTTTGAAGAAGCTGGTGACTTGATGAGTCCTAAACGATGCTTCCTCAAGCCGGTGTCCTTTTGTAACAGTTTCGGCAAGTCGCCCAAAACCAAGCTAAGTACTGGTTTTGCAAACCCTGCTGAAGAGCGGGAAGAGATGGTCGGACTTAATGTAGGGGCCTAAATAATTACCAATAGTATTTTGGTGGTATTCTGAGGGTTCCTTAATAAAAGTATAGTATAGTGGACCCCAAAACCCTATTCTAGTTATTAAGGCCCCTAGATTATCGTGCATTGTGGGTTCTGTGATGCAAAGGACGACGGAAGCCCAGCAAAGTCAGACTGTCATGGCCTGTAGAAAGAGCCTCGGAGACTCCGAAACCCGGTTTAGGGTTTAGGGTTTAGGGTTTAGGGTACTGCCCTCATACAGCAGAGCGTCCATGTTAAGGCTACTACAGCATTAAGGGCCTTGGCTATCTATATATTACACATGCTATTCCACTGTTGCTGAATGGGGGCAGTATCCAGCCTGAACCCAACCTTTAAACCCTACACCCTTTTTTACACAGGCTTGATTGGAGCTCGCCCGGCCAAGTTCCCTCGCCGCACTTTGTTTTGAACCCAGACTCTTTGCGCCGCACTAAACCCTAAACCCGAAAAATCCCGAAAATCCAAGCTCGTGGGCCTCGTTGACGTCATCGGAAGGAGACAGGCCATACAGCTCTCGGGCCGCCTTCAAGGGTGCCCCTACGGTTTGCCCTATGGCTTCCTTCTAAAGCCATGCTTTAAGGCTTGGACAGCTTCAACAGTCCAAGAACCCGTTCTTTGAGAAGGTAAGGGTTAGAGGGTACGGTTCAGGGCTTAGGGTTGGGCGAGCACTCGATTTTTCACAAAAGACGCCAGACATGGTTTCTGTGCACACTACCGGAGACAGGACTACGTAGCGACTAGTACGAAGTTCGCATGTCAATATGCCCATGTCAATGCCTCGATCTTGCGCTGGTGGATCATCTTGTATCGCTGCATCATGATGATGAAAAGGAACTTCGACACGATGTTCCTGGATCGAGGGCTCAGCGCATGGTGCTTACACAAGATTGGGTGTTGCCCCTCAAGCACAAAAAGCTGCATGCAGTCACGCCCTGACTGGACGACTCTCTTCCGCGGGATACTACTCAGCCCAAAGAAATGTGTACCTGTACATACATGTACAAGAGACAGAGAGAGAGAGAGAGAGATAGAGAGAAAGGGAAAACTACAAAAACTGTATGTATGGGTAGTACGTATATGTACGTATGCATATATACGTATGTATATATATATATATATACATATGCATATATGCATATAGACACGTATACACATACACACATACACATACACATACATATACATAAACGGAGACCAGCCCAGCAGTTTTTGATAGTTAGCCTGTTTACGCAAGCTTAAATGAATGCGAGTCCAAGGATCAATATCACCCAGCCCATTTCGATGATGAAGCCATCAGTGATGACCGAAAATCCCTCCACACTCAAGCTGAACCTGAGTGAAGCCATGCTGAGGTAGGTAAGGGGCCTATAGCTTCAACATGCTTGGAAAAACCGAAAAGATAGCTTCGGGCTTGATCTGCATAGAGACGGCGGGCGGAGTTGGACCACTAAATGAGGTTCCAGCTTCCATCTTAGAACCTAGAATTGCGCAGAACGCCGATGTTCTTGATGAACCTCTCAGGGTTCTGCGAAACCTCAGAACCACCGCTTGGAACGAGGGTTTCGGGTTTAGGGCTGAGGGTTCCGGGTTTAGGGTACCTTGCAGCTACGTCACCCAAACTTCAGAAGCCTTCTTCCCGAAACCGAGGAACTTACCCTTATCCATCTTCCGACAGCAAGCGTAGATTGTTGCTTTTGTCCCTGTCCGCCTGGATGCTTCGCATCCACTGTGCATCTCTAGGGCCTTGCATCTGAATCTCTCCAGATGAACCCCATTATTGCTGTTGCTCGTGTGCCTTGGCATGTGGTACCAGTAATTCTGTAGATGCGCGTTTTCTGGCTGCATGACCCTGGCACCCGACTTCCGTGAGTGAGGTGCTTGCGTAGGGTCCACAGCTGCAGCTCCAACGTCAGTGCGGAACCCGCAACCCTTTGTGCTCCAAACCGCCAAACCCAACACCCACACCCCCAAGGTCTAGACCCCCTAAACCCCTAAACCTTAAACCCCTGAACCCTAAACCGTAAACCCCTAAACCCCTAAACCCCTAAACCCTGAGCCCCTACACTGCCCTACACCCTGCTGTAAGCTTGGCCACCACAGCGGGAAGGGGAACCACGTGACGATCAAGACGATGGAGAGCTTGCGGAAGTCGGAGTCTCCT